TATATTTTTAAATATATACATACAAACTATTATTAATGCAATTACGGATTTTACAAAAATTATCGTACAAAAAAAAAACCTACATTCTTTCTCACTATTCAATGTGAGAAACACAAATAGTTTCTCGAATCCTATACGCACATAATTCTACCTTTAGTTTTTATATCTTAAAATTTAACAATTTGAATAACTGCACTTTGAATATCATTAGTAGATTTTAGGATCAATGTTTTTGTATTGCAGTAGTTATCAAGGATGGATTGAGTAAATGCTTAGTTGCACTTTATCCTTTAATAAGGAACATGTTATTTCGCCAAGTTTTTATTTTAAAAACTGAACTATATTGTTTTGATTTCCTCAAAGTAGTGTAGTTACTTACAATTCATTGAAACTTCGAAACAATATAAAATAATATTTTGTGAAGTATATTTGAATTTACTAATACACATACATACATATATATTCTTTAAGAGTTTTACAAAACAGTTTATGCATTAGTGATTATTTAATAATTAACTGCCTTCATTAAAAATCTCGTTTAGTATAGAAATAATACCAATCAACGAATAATAAGAACTCCATGCCAAAAGTCATTTCAAAAACATTATGATTGTCATGTAAGCATATAGAACAATATTACTATCTCTATTTCTTTGTTTCTTATTGCTTAATATAAATATATCAATTTATGACATTGTTAGATGTATACGAAAAAACTAATTGTTTAGCCAGGAAGTGACTCATATCCCTTAAACAAAAATGGGTTTGTTATTCCTGATGGAGTGGACTACGTCGATACATGGAAAGCCATGGAAGAAGTTTATAAAAAGGGCCTCACAAGATCAATTGGGGTTTCCAACTTCAACAAAAAACAAATTGAACGACTGCTTAACTCTAGCTCCGTTATACCCGTAACCAATCAGGTTTGTGAAGTAAAAATATACCCGTACCCTAAATTGATTGAATTCATTAGATACCTTTCTTTTTCAAATGTATGTACCAATCAGCCAACTAAAAAACAAAAAGTTATTCTAATTTTGCCTGTTTGACAGCCCTCGAAATCTAACTTCAAACGTGTACCAAATGATAGTTTACGATAAGATTTTAATTTTCGGTACGTTTTAGACTGAGACTACTTTTGATTCATGAGATACTGGATGTAAATTTTTTGTTCAGTTTTCCTCAAGGAGGGGAATTCTACAAAAGACACTCTATGAAGGGGTGTAATGTCGGATTTGCCAAAGCGCCGTCCGATTGAAAACCCTCCTTGAACAGGGAGATCAATCTGGAGGTCATGCATCCCAGGAAAGATTCTGTGAAAATGGACGAACAATTTGTGGGAGAAAGGTGACGAAAAGAGAATCGGTGGCCCACCTCGGATGTGTAGGTGGGCAATACACTGGTAAATTAATCATTACAATTTAGAAAGATCGTTTTATGAAAGCCTACAAAGGGCGCACTAAACGCCACCTGCAGTACTATGCTACATTTAGTGGAATTGAAGATGTTCAACGATATCCATCTTCATATATAGATATTTGCTTGCTGAACTGAATCCATAGCGTAGCCCACAATACATGTTAGATACGTTACCATTAGTACCTACCGACTGGCGTGGCCCAGAGGTTTAGACCATTGCTTAGCATTCGAGAAGACGCCGGTTCGATTCCGACTCTGTCTGCCTTGGTCCAAGTTTTCTGTGGTTTCGTTGGGTCACTAGACTAATGCTGAGGCAGTAATATTCCACATATAATATTTCATCCTCTTGTGTCATCTTTCTCACCCGAACCACCACCCGCCCAATCCCACGATTCCTGAAAGGAGGTTGTCCGCTTACCAGCATTAGCGGCTGGTGGGAATGAAACACCCAAAAACTTTTTTACCAAAATTTAACAAAGAAGTTCATGGTGATCAGTGTTTTGTCGAAACTACCAGACGCGGATCGATAGAATACTGACTACCATGAACTTCTTTGTTCAATTATAATTCATTGCTAGATCAATATTTCACTTAAAATCTGGTAATTAACTATCGTATACATATTTTAACGGTCAATTATTACCAATCAAAATTCAAAATGACGGATGTGGAGTGAAAAATTCTTGTTTACCCCTGAAAGACTGTCCTGAAGAGTCTTTTGGTCGTTGATTATAAATCTGGGCACAAAGTTAAAGTTGGCAAACATTAAATTCCGAATTACGCCTAAAATATCTACACTGTTTGTGATGGAACAATAATACATTAGCAATTCTGAATATAGAAAGATCAAGTAGCCCTAACAAATGTGATTACCATACCATTTGTGAAAAAAATCGTAAGCAATTCTAAATACCAACAAAAGAATGATTTAGTAGTCGTAACAATGATAATTTAGACTAATGACACCAATTAAAAAAGAAAGTGATGAATTCCTACATTGTTTTGATAAAAATATAGTTATCAATAAAAAAATAATCGAGAAAACAAATACCTATTTGAATGTAATTGAAAAAGTTATTTAGAAAGTATGAAATAGTCGAATTACAAAAAATCGTCGAATCTGAACCCTCTAAAATATTTAAAAATTTAGTTCTTAATGTGAGGTGACTGCTGAGCTTTAAATGAAGCATTATAAAAGTCTTAAAAGTGGTGATTATAAATTTAACAACAACGAATAATAAGACCATGTTGGAAAAATGTCAAATTTAGCGCTCAGTATCTCAAGAGTCAAAGCAGCCTCAACTTGAAACTTATAAAAGATTATTACTATTTTATCAGTAGTTTTAATGCCTCTTGATAAATTATTTACGATTTACAATTTTTCATCTCCTTTAATTTAGGTTGAATGTCATCCCTATTTAAATCAAAAGAAGCTAGCGGACTTTTGTAAATCCAAAGGAATTGCTATAACAGCTTACAGTCCATTGGGTTCTTCTGATAGACCGTGGGCAAAACCCGGAGAACCAAAGCTCCTAGACGATCCGAATCTTAAAGCCATCGCCGATAAACGTAAGAAAACACCTGCACAGATTATTCTGCGTTATCTGACTCAAAGAGGTTTTGTTGCCATTCCAAAGTCTGTTCATAAGAATAGAATTCAGGAAAATATCAACATATTCGATTTTCAACTATCCCCCGAAGAAATGAAATACGTTGACTCATTCAATCGAAACGGAAGGTTGCTCAGATTTGAATCGTAAGTTTTATTGTGTAATGGTGTTAACCACAAAAAAAAATACAATAGGTTGACCACAAGAATGACCAATGACGATCTTGAATTTCAATTCTATTCTTGGTCTTGCTTAAGCAGATTTGCCTCTGATCTTCTATTTTATTTTGTATTTGAGCTGCTATTATTGCAAGACTTTATTTATTATTTTATTTTATTGTTTCTATTTTTAGGGGATCCAAGCATCCATACTATCCATTCCATGATGAATATTAAACAACCGTGTTGTGCAGAAAGGAAATTTATATCTCTTTGATTCGCCTTACGATTAAATTTTTAAGCAGTATAATGAAATATAATTCTCTATTTGTCTGTTCTCATACACTAAAAGTTAGTAAAAACGGACTTAATATGTTTTATGTAATATTCGAAAATAAATCATTTCATTTTACAGTCTCGTCTATAAGAATATAACAAAGACATCTAGACTAATTTGCGTGAATGTATGTTGATTTTTTCTGTTAATAAGATAACTAAATTGACCATTTGTGGTCTAGTGGTAGGAGCCATAATTAATAAATAAACAACTCCCTATTTAGCATGTACCTACAAATAATGTGCAAAAGAAAAAAAAATAGCAATTAAAGTAACATAATAAGTGAATTTGTAGTCTCATCTTGTAGCTTATATGATAGAAAATAAGTGCATATAAGTGTTTAGAAATTTGAATGAAATGAGTTTATTAGGCGTTCCTTATTGCCTTATGAAGAATAACTAGCAAAACTGTAGTCATTTTGATCATTCTTCATTATAGTTATGCTTATCTCAAGGGTCGTGTCGTCACTTCTATGCTCGCGAATGGTTAATTTAGAAATTCGGAAAAGGTTGTTAAAGGTGTATGTTTGGAGCGCGGCGTTGTACGGGTACGAAACATGGACAGTGGGCGCGGCGGAAAAGAAAAGGTTAGAAATGTGGTGTTATAGGTGAATGATGACGATACCGTTGGTAGAAATGAAGAGGTATTAGAAAGAATAGGAGAACAGAGGACTGACGACCCTATGATGATGATGACGGGCCGTCAGTTCTCAGTCTGGTTGGACACGTACATTCACTCTTTCCTGAGTTAATATTCGCATTTCCCTAAAGGTAAAACATCCCATATCTTTAACTATGTGTGAACAGTAATCTAATCTGGGTTTACCCCTATTTCTTTTGACTCCTGTTTCTATTTCTGAACTATTTTTAACTAGCCCTTCGTGCCCGAAACGGTGTTCTGCTAGCCTATCTCGCCTATTTCCTATTGACATTAATCTCTGTTCTTTTACTCTTACCCAGAGTGTAATAAGTCATACTTTGAGTGACGCATATTTGCCTACTTAACAATAGGAGTTTGGAAATTACAGAGAAGAATGAAGACTGTTCCAGATAATTCAATAACGATGTTGTGCTAATTACGAGTGAATACCAAGTGATACAAACGAGCAAAACATCATACACATCGTGTGATATATCTGTAATAAAAAGTAATAGTAAGTATACTTCGTTTACTTTATGTAGCGATGTGACCTTCAGTTTGGTCGGCGCAAAGTAGAAAAGAACAGCACTAGGCCAGATAAGGAAGGAGACAACTCTCGGCCAAATTCCTAACCGGTGAGGAACGTATAATCCGTACAGTGCTGCACGGAAAGATTGACCATTTTATCTACTACAATTTCATTGCTCAAATGTGCTGTTATTGGTACCATTTACTACTGAAAATATCAACGAGATGTTTATTTATATTTGAAGACATATTAAAGACTTTAACGCTTGTTTTCGATTCGCACTACTATTCATGATTGATCAAAACTTTTGGCAGGTACTGTATGAAAAAGTATGTTTAATGAACAAGAGTCGAGAGTATAATGAGCNAACAGGAGTTAAGAGGAGTAGAGGTAGACCTAGATTGGAATACTGTTCACAAATAGGAAATGGTGTGAGATGTTTTAGTTTTAGGGAAATACGAAGATTAGCTCAAGAGATCAGGATAGGAAAGAGTGAAGGTGTGTGTCCAACCAGTCGTAGGATTGATGACCATATGATGATGATGATGTTCCTGGCCAAGTTAGTCATCAAGATTTACATTTAAAAATCAATAACAACCTCTCGCATAGCGAAATCGAATAGAATTTTTATTGGAAGGCCCACTTGTTGATTACAGCATAATTGCCACTCTGTTCTTTAATTGATGTGATATGGGTGAACTTGTTATTATTTTTTAAATTTGGAGATTCATAAAACAATATAATGTAATTAATTGCACAAAATGTACTCTACTTAATAAGAATTTTAAATCTGTCTTTGGAGTGTCAGCTGTTTATTGTGTAACTTACTTGATTTGTTACTGGGACGACAGAACCTTTTTCAAGAATCCTCTCAATTTGTCGTTTGTTAAAGTTTGCTACACCAATTGATTTTGTCAATCCCTTGCGGTAAACATCTTCCATTGCTTTCCACGTGTCCGCAAAGTCGATTCCTGCCGGTATTACATGTCCATCTTTATCAGTTGGAAAAAGAGAGTCTCCAACTTGCTAAAAGTAGATAAACAAAAATTTTAACTCGGATTTGGATAAGTGGAAGTAAACTTCCAACTTCATCGTGGAGCATTTAAAACCAGCCATTCTGTAAATGATTTAATAAAAAACGATAAGCAATAAAAATAAGCGAATATGAATATTCATTTCTTAATCTAATGTTACAGATCTAGTAATTATTTATATTTATACTTTCAACGAGAAGTTTCTGAAATACTACACACATACAGTAAACAGCGAGATATTTATTTATATTTGAAGACATATGAAAGGCTTTAACGCTTGTTTTCGACTCGCACTACTATTCATGATTGAACAAAACTTTTGACAGGTACTGCATGAAAAAGTATGTTTAATGAACAAGAGTCGTGCGTATAATGAGCTTTTTTCTCCCTACCTACGATTTGGCGCATCCAAGACATTAGAAGGGGCACATCGCTACAGAAAGTAAATGAAGTATACAGAGTATTGAAAACCGTCAAAATTCAAAACGCTTCTACGACCATGGAAAGAGCGCATGACGTCACTAGTACTGAGTGCGAACATCCGTTGCGGCGCGCGTTTCAAAAGGAGTTATCGTTAGTGTTATGTGCCTAACCGAAAAACAAATGCAAAAAGGCCAATTTTTTTTTACAGAAACGTAGCCTACAGCTTGACCATCATAGTTCTCTCTCAAAGTAATTTTTAACGAAAAGTTGATGAAAATATAATATTATTCTACAGTACAAATAAAATAATTCGAAGTGGACCTTGTTGAAAAATACGTAATCCTAAAATGTAGCATCGTGCTTCAGATGGCGTTCACTGTGCCGTTTGTAGTATTTTCTGATTCTACAGTACGGTTATCTTTAGTGATTAATCTTTATAATAAAAGAACTTTAACATTAATTTTCGATGTCATGTCCCAACCTAACTGTATGTGCATTTATAAATAGAAAGGTCTACTTACCACTCCAATGCATATATTCTTCCGTCACTACTATTTAAGGAGTCTACGGTTTTCATATCATCAGGAGTTAATTCAAAATCAAAAATGTTAATATTCTCTTGAATTCTGTTTTTGTGTACAGATTTTGGAATAGCGATGATACCACTTTGAACCAAATAACGAAGCGCAATTTGGGCAGGAGTTTTCTTGTACTTGTCTGCGACTTTCTTCAGAATCGGGTTGTCCAAGAGCTTAGGTTCGTCCGGTTTTGCCATAGGTCTGTTATCTGATCCTAATGGACTGTAGGCAGTAAGAGTTATTCCTTTTGATTTGCAAAATTCAGCGAGCTTATTCTGATTAAAATACGGATGGCATTCAACCTAAATAAAAAGACAAATATTAGGCGTTCCTTATTGCCTTATGAAGAATAACTAGCAAAACTGTAGTCATTTTGATCATTCTTCATTATAGTTATGCTTATTTCAATAATACTCATCATAAGGAGTAGTAGGGAGAGAATAGCGCAGGGTCGTGTCGCCTTTAATAAAAAGAAGTCACTTCTATGCTGGCGAATGGATAATTTAGAAATTCGGAAAAGGTTGCTAAAGGTGTATGTTTGGAGCGCGGCGTTGTACGGGTGCGAAACATGGACAGTGGGCGGGGCGGAAAAGAAAAGGTTAGAAATGTGGTGTTATAGGTGAATAATGAGGATAACGTGGGTAGAAGAGGTTAGAAATGAAGAGGTATTAGAAAGAATAGGAGAACAGAGGACTGACGACCTTATGATGATGATGATGAAGGGCCGTTAGTCCTAAGTCTGGTTGGACACGCATATTCACTCTTTCCTGAGTTAATATTAGCATTTCCCTAAAGCTAGAACATCCCATATCTTTAACTATGTGTGAACAGTAATCTAATCTGGGTTTACCCCCATTTCTCTTAACTCCTGTTTCTATTTCTGAACTATTACTAACTAGCCCCTCGTGCCTGAAACGGTGTTCTACTAGCCTATCTCGCCTATTTCCTATTAACTTTAATCATAAAGCCCCCTGTTCTCTTACTCTTACCCAGAGTGTAATAAATCATACCTTGTGTGACGCGTATTTGCCTATAGGAGTTTGGAAATTACAGAGAAGAATGAAGACTGTTCCAGATAATTCAATAACGATGTGCTAATTACGAGTGAATACCAAGTGATACAAACGAGTAAAACATCATACACATCGTGTGATATATNATTCGAAATTTCAATATCTGTAAATCAAATCTAAAACGGAAGCGCCACTACTTTGCTGTCTAAATACAGAATATACGAAGTGCTTTTGATAATTCTAATTATTCCGAAGAAGTCAGATAAATTAGGATGGAAGGAGCAGCAGAGATATAATGTAGAGGATAGCGTAGGGTCGAGTCGCCTTCAACAAAAAGAAGTCACTTATATGCTCGCAAACGGATAATTCACAAAATCAAAAAAGATTGTTAAAGGTTTATGCATGGAGCGCTGTACAGGTGCGAAACATAGACGGTAGGTGCGGCGGAAAAGAAAAGGTTAGAAGCGTTTGAAATGTGGTGTTACAGGCGAATGATGAGGATACAGTGGATGGAGAAGGTTAGAAATGAAGAGGTATTATAAAGAACTAGAGAACAGAGGACTTTGGAAGTCAATCAGAAATGGGTAAGATAGGCTGATAGGACACCTTCTTAGGCATGAAAAGCTAGTGAAAGACATGTTAGAAACAGAAACAGGAGTTAAGAGGAGTAGAGGTAGACCTAGATTAGAATACTGTTCACAAATAGGAAATGGTGTGGGATGTTTTAGTTTTAGGGAAATACGAAGATTAGCTCAAGAGATCAGGATAGGAAAGAGTGAAGGTGTGTGTCCAACCAGTCGTAGGATTGATGACCATATGATGATGATGATGTTCCTGGCCAAGTTAGTCATCAAGATTTACATTTAAAAATCAATAACAACCTCTCGCATAGCGAAATCGAATAGAATTTTTATTGGAAGGCCCACTTGTTGATTACAGCATAATTGCCACTCTGTTCTTTAATTGATGTGATATGGGTGAACTTGTTATTATTTTTTAAATTTGGAGATTCATAAAACAATATAATGTAATTAATTGCACAAAATGTACTCTACTTAATAACAATTTTAAATCTGTCTTTGGAGTGTCAGCTGTTTATTGTGTAACTTACTTGATTTGTTACTGGGACGACAGAACCTTTTTCAAGAATCCTCTCAATTTGTCGTTTGTTAAAGTTTGCTACACCAATTGATTTTGTCAATCCCTTGCGGTAAACATCTTCCATTGCTTTCCACGTGTCCGCAAAGTCGATTCCTGCCGGTATTACATGTCCATCTTTATCAGTTGGAAAAAGAGAGTCTCCAACTTGCTAAAAGTAGATAAACAAAAATTTTAACTCGGATTTGGATAAGTGGAAGTAAACTTCCAACTTCATCGTGGAGCATTTAAAACCAGCCATTCTGTAAATGATTTAATAAAAAACGATAAGCAATAAAAATAAGCGAATATGAATATTCATTTCTTAATCTAATGTTACAGATCTAGTAATTATTTATATTTATACTTTCAACGAGAAGTTTCTGAAATACTACACACATACAGTAAACAGTGATAGTGTTGAGCTTTACTCAATTGCTCGAAAATTTATAAACTACTACATTTAAAATAATTCCCTAACAATTTTATTAATAAGAAATTAAATTAATTAATTCACTACTGCTAATTCCCTCCTTATCCCGAATCCTTCCGATTGTATACTAGTGTCAGACGGCGACATGACCCAGTAGATGACAGCTTAGCATCTGGTAGGATACTGGCTAGATTCGCGGCCTATCTGACCTAATCCAAGTTTCTCTGTGGTTTCCTTGGACTATTTAGGGTAATACTAGGGTAATAACTAACATTTCAATTATAAATAATCATTCAATATCCTTCTGTCTTTATTTTGTTCTTCTCATTTAGGCCTCCTCAGCCACCACCTTCCCATTCTCAGGGCTTATAAAAGAAGACTGCGGAGGGCCTTTTCCCCTTCCCTCCGGCTTTACAATAGAATGTAGGTAACATAGGTTCCGTCTCATGTAAAATTTCTGAAGAAGTCGATATCTTGGTGAAACATATAGATACTTAGTGAAACATACAGATAGGTATCTTCCAAGTGAAATTTGATTTTATAGAAATTTACTAAATCTATATTTTATAAGTACCATCAAACCTTGTGGTTTGAGAGATTAGGATTACAGAAATATTGTTGAGACACCTCATGGTAGCATACCAAAACCGTGGTAACGACCTAACCACCAGTGTGAGGAAATTACTGGAATAACATTATGCTTCATTAATTCCTTTGTCAACTTACCTTAAAGTCCACAGGGGAGTGCATCAGGTACATGTCAAGATAATTTAGGCCGAGAGCACTTAGAGATTGATTTATGGCGGGTTCCACATCTTCGGGCTTGTGGAAGGTATTCCATAATTTGCTGACAATAAATAGGTCTTCCCTTTTCACAACGCCTTCGTCTATTTTTGCTTTAATTGCTTCCCCGACCTCCTTCTCGTTTTGGTAGATCCAGGCGGTATCAATGTGTCTGTACCCAGCATCGATTGCATCCTTAACTGCTTGAAGCACGTCTGCTCCAGTAGACTACTCGAAAGAAATAATATGAAGGAAATTAAAATATAAAAGAATAGAAGATTTTATGAGATGTAAATGTAAATGTAAATAAGATTCTGATTCCGATGTTCTTTTCAAAAAGACTTAATATGTCGAAACAATACTGTACAGTTTAACATAAGACGTTTTGAAACATTATAAACCATTTTTCTTTGTATATACATATAGGAATATAAAAGAAATTAGTGTTTTTCCTGTTTTCTATCTAAAATCTATGTTATCAACATTCCTTTAGTGGATAGAAACATGATACATATTGACTAAATAATTATTTTTTTTATTGTTAGAGGATACAATAGCCCATTACATTACACGGAGTAGACAGGTTCATCTTCTGCGTGTTTTAATTATTACTATCTTATATACTCCATTGAATTATTCAGTGAATATAAATTAGTGTTAACCATCTTTAACTTTCCAAATTCAGCAATTTCGGTGACCTCTAAATTTTATGTTTTCGTGTAGAAACAAATACACAATTTTTGTTAAATAGAAAGTAAACAGTTAAAACAAAAAAATAACCGTATCTCCCAATTTTTTTAGTAGGTTATTTGAAAAACCCATCAGTGGCCTATTGCAGCTGTAACATAACTGTTTAACACCAATATTTTAATAAGATTTACGAAGATGAAAAGTTTAAGAATCTAAAGTTGATAGGGTTGATAACGTTTCTTTTTGCAGTTGTTTTTCTGTGAGTTTTATATTATTTTAACTTTTATAAGATGCATGAATATTATAAAGTAAAATGGACCAAAATAATTGACAGTTTTATGAATACTAAGCTGAATCCGCTGTATATTGTTGCATGAATGATTTACTAAGTTCTTTTTGTGACGTAAAGCACTTACTACGAATAGATTTTTAAAAATTCAACCCCTAAAAAATATGAAGACTGGAAAACTTTGGCGGTTGTTGTAGAACAAACAAAATAACCCAAACCCCAACGCCAAAACACGAAGAAGTCCGAAGAAGGTAATCTTGTTACCGAAAAAGATAACTAGTGTCGTGTTTTGGCGTTGGGGTTTGAGCTATTTTGTTTGTTCAACCCCTAGAAAGTATTTTTACAAATTCTATCAAAATACTACTGTCCAGTTTAAGCATAAGAAAACGTGTAAATTGACAGTCAAAAATTCATTCGCATATGAGTGAAATGGGCTTAAAGGTTCGTATGAAAGTAAAACAAATTGATAAAGATTTTGATCCGTCTTATCATCGGAAGTCACTGAATATACCAATACAAAAAACATGGAAAAGTGCAGCGTAAAATTCTGGACATCTGGACTTTTCTTTGATGGTTGCATTAATTTTTAATTTTTCATTTGAACGAGAATAATAAAATATAATTACCTCGTGAACTGTAATATGTTATTTTATGAGATTATTTACTCATTAATTTATTAAAAATAATTACATAACTGTAACTAACCTTCCATGTTCCCAGTCCTATAACAGGAATGTCGAGACCATTGTTCAGTTTTATTGTAGGAGCTATTGTTGCATCACCAAACGTCACAGCAGTGGCAACGAAGCATATCACACAGTTGAACCACTTTGTGTATGCCATTTTGAGATAAACACCCTGTATAGAACGTTAATAATGCTAACATATTTGTTTAATATTTTTTCGAAGAAACATTTACAAAGATGAAACCCTAGGATATACTTCATTTACTTTCTCTAACGATGAGCCCCTTCCAATATCTTGGATGCGAGCTGGCAAAATCATAGGTAGGGAGAAAAAAGCTCATTATACTTTCGACTCTTGTTCATTAAACATACTTTTTCATACAGTACCTGCCGAAAGTTTTCTTCAATCACGAATAGTAGTGCGAGTCGAAAACAAGCGTTGAAGCCTTTAATATGTCTTCAAATATAAATAAACACCTCGTTGATATTTTCAATGGTAAATGGTACCAATAACAGCACATTTGAGCAATGAAATTGTAGTGGATAAAATGGTCAATTTTTCCGTGCAGTACTGTACGGATTATACGCTCCTCACCGGTTAAGAGTTTGGCCGAGAGTTGTCTCCTTCCTTTTCTGGCCTAGTGCTGTTCTTTTCTA